TAATCATATTTTTATTATAAAAACACTTGTTAAATAGATTTTACCCTAAACATAATTTATATGTAGCCACTCAAAACTCATACGCATCATTCTTTAGGATGAATTGCAAGACAAAAACTTTTTTCAATATTCTGTGTTCTTCTATCTTGAACAAACATTTTTTCTTTCCTTGCAATCTATCTCACATAATTGTGTTGATATTGTTGTTATATTTTTGGATTAACCTTCCTATGTTACCAATAAAAGAAAGTCTTTATAATTTATTACTTTCTTCAGTTGACAACATTGAGAAATTCATTCCTAAACTTGCTGTAAATTACAAGCCATTGCAATACAAAAAAATGAAAATGAAACAAGACATGTTACTTTCAATTTTTATCATTCACCATTTTTTGCAAGTAATATATTACCTCGGATTTTTGATAAAACCGAGGGGAAAATCCTTATGCTATTTTATTTTATTTATTAAAAAAGAAAAAACATTTCTCCTCGATTTTGTAACAGAATATAGGGGTTAGTTACACATCTACAATAACGAATCTATGCCCTACATCCACCACTCTATATCTTGTTCTCTTTTTTGTGAAAGCATTTTCCATAAAAATATTTGCTCAAAATAATAAAATATTAGAACTTAAAGAAGCATTTGCTCAAGATAATGAAATTTTGAAAAAATTCTATGAGATGGATTACAAGTGCACAAAAAAGATTTTCCAATGATTGAAACATATAACTCCTCAAAATTTTGATGCACAAAAGGTATGAAAAAAATTTTGGATAACAATTTTTTTAAAGAATAAAAATGACGATGATGAATCAGATTTGTAAAAATCTGGGTTTGTTGTAATTTTTAATATTCTATTGCAAACAATGTTAAAAAGAATGTATTTTAATATTGTGTGTAATATTTTGTGTAATTTATTGTGTCTCTTTAATATCCACATAAACATTAAATTATGATGCTTCTTGATATTAAGAGTACAATATACCAGTATAATAGAAGAAGATTTATTAGAGTTATTGTGTATTTTGAAGTCTTTTTAGAATATGTCATATTTTATAGTGCACGTAAGTATATATAAAAATATCAAAATGATAATTTAAAATTTTCAGATTATATAATTGTGTACACATGCACTCCGACTAATTTGACATATATGAATAATATAAGAATTTATTATATTTCACTATTATTAAATACTCAGATGATATAGTATCTAAACATTGAGATATTAATTTTTTTAATGCAAAATTATGGAGAAGTGGATGTATAATATATCATCATTAGAGTCTTACAAACTCAATCATATATTTTATACGTAAATAAATTATCATAACTATTTAGAAAATATCATATAAAAGAATACGATAGTTATACAAAAAAGTTTATCATCATTTGAGTGAGATCAAATTCCTATACTTTTTATAATAATATAGTTTTATATACAAAATCTTAATCAGTCACTCAAAACTCAAGTGCTATAAATATAATCACACACATTTGAGAAATATATTATGATATTCGCAGTAAAAAATATGAGACTTAATTTTAATTATTATTGAGAATATAGTACAAATAATCATATACTTTTATTACTAACAAAATTATATAATATCCTGAAAATAAGTCTCTATTACTTAAAATAAAATAATATTAAACAAATGATATTTGATTCTTATTTTATAAATTCGACATATAAATTCTCGTTCTTGATAGAGAATAATAGTTAAACTAAGATTAAAAGTTTTGAAAAATATTTAAACAAATATTCAACTATTTCCTCTATCACACAATGATCATTGTTAGAGCATAGTTTGGTTCTACATCCAATTATTAGTTTTGATGATAACAAACATAATTATTGTGAAAGAACAATTATGCACTCTAATTATTTGATTGAATTTACAGAGAAGTTCTGATGAAAGCAAGAAAGTTAATGACGTGAAAAATCACATATAAAGCTCTGAAGAAGAAAAACATATAAGAAACTCTTAAGCGAAGCTAAAATAACACGAAAGAAAAAAAAGTTTTGATGCTGACAATCAAACTTTCTAAAGCACCCAACTGCAGGTTATACTCTGATATATAAAGTTCTGAAAGAACAAAGAAGCTTCAAACGTAACTATCATATTCAAAGTTCTGATTACAAGAAATTAGCTCAAGATACTCTGAGACGGCGTAGATCCGACATCACATTAATGGAATTTTTAAAGTAACGGCTGGAAACTTTATGGCTGGAACAAGATCTGTATTTTTGGAAAGAAAATCAAATCTCAAATCAACAACCTTCCAAAATCAGATATATTATGTCTCCAGTAGATCAAATACTTTGTCTTTTTAAAGGAGACGATGAAGATGGATCCAGTGAACACACTTACACGCATATCAAACAAGATCAACCAAAATTCTCTATTATTTTTATCTCTTCAATTATAACTGTGCTGCAATTTTGTGTAAAAATCACAGTTGTAATAAGCTTATTAAAAGCATTTGTAAACATATATATTTGTTTAAATAATGTAATTCCTTGAGAAACTAAGTTGTGATTTGATCTCAAGAAGACGTTGACAGTTGTCTTTGTGAATTATAATTCACTACGCCAAAAATGATTTTTTGTATCACCTAATTTAATAGCACTTTTAAAAAAAATGCTATTAAAATGGAAAAAACACATTTATAATAGCACTTTTTAATCGGGCGCTATTATATAATACAGACTATGTAATTATGATAGCACTTTGTACCAGAACGCTATTATTAAACTTCTTTAAGATAGCATTTTGTATAAAACGCTATTATTTGACTACCTATATAATAGCATTTATTAAAAAGCGCTATGTTATATATAATAATGAATTAATTAATTAATTGATAAAAAAAAAAAACACATTTTCAGAAAATATCTTCCTCTGCTTCCCGCATCCACTCACCGCCAAAAGCAAAAACACTATCTTCCTCTGCTTCCTTCTTAGCCATTGATTCCCCCAACTGATTCACCGCCGTCAAATCTTCCTCTGCTTCCTTCGGTTTTCATTGATTCACCGCCGTTAGTCATTGATTTACCACCGTCATCCCTTCCTTCGGTTTTCACCAGGATCCATTCTTCAGCCATCGGATTCACCATCGATTCGGATTCAGATTCACTTCTCAAACGACACTCAAACAGAAGGAGGAAACACCGAAAAGAAAGAACAACCAAATCTCATTCTCCGTCGAACTCAACCCTTTGTCATCTCACCTACGTCCTCGTCATCCCTCTCTTCATTTGTATCCGGTAATATTTCTTTTTTCAGTTTCTGCTATCCGTTGATTCTCTGTGTTGTTTGTGAGCGTTATGATGTCTTTGTGTTGACGGATATTCGTGATTTTGAGTAGCTGTAATGAGGGTTTGTGAGGTTAAGTTGCAGTTGTGAGGGTTCGTGAAATTTGAGTTGTTAGGTTGGACATTTTTGTTTGCGGGGATCAAGTTCGCAAGGGAGCTGCACTTAACGCAATCCAGATTGCAGAAATGTTGCTGTGAGTTTTGATATGTCAAAGTTTTGGTACCTCAAAATTACGCCTCCCCAGTTTTTGAGTTAGTTTTGTATCTGCTAGTTGGAAGGGATTATTCTTAGTTTTTGTAAGGTTTAGTTAGTCAAAAGAATTTTTCCAGTATCTTGTAATACACTAGCTTGAACTATTTCTTTTTCATGGCCTTAATTATTTACATATTTTCTGTAGTTCACCCCTGTGAGAATGAATAACAAGCATTGGACGCGTCACACAAAATGCTACACCGTTTGCCAACTAATCAAAATTAGATTTACTTCCTCTGTTTTCATATTAGATGTTTTGCTCTTCTGTGTTTGGTTGAAATTAAGTAGAAGGAAGTTACATTTCTCCTAATGTCTAAACTAATTTTATCTCCCTTCCAAAAGTTAGGTATTTAGAATGAGTGTAATACTTTTATAGTTAATAGTCTTAAATGTTTATTACAAAGAGATGAAAAATGTAATTTGTATTTTTCTTCAATTAAAATCTCTTTTATTCTCTTGTTGGAACAAACACAAGCACACTCCTTTTAATTTGGACAGTATATTCACTGCTACCAGCACTGCTTCATACCTCTTAGACTTTAGAAATCCTGTAATGCAATCTAAGGAAAGGTCTTCTTCCCAAACAACATTAGGAACTAAGCGAGGTTGTAATAATCCTGAGAATTGTTGTTGCATAGTTTTGTCTGTGACCTATGTCACAAAGGTCACAATACCTCACATAATTCCGACTTTCTTTTGTATTTCAACCCAATACAGGTTTGCGGCTAAAAATTTGTAAGTTCTAAGGAAGCATGAATGTCCTCCCGTAAGGAAATAGAAGGTGAAGTATGAGGTAAAACCTAGGGACATATTATTTTATAAAACCTAGGACATATTATTTTGTCAAATCTGCATTTAGCGTTGTTAGCCACAAAGCAGTCATTTGCTGATGTTGTTAATGTTTATTTCAAATGACTTAAATTTTCCTTCTCATTCATATTGTACACCAAAAGGTCATAAAAAAGACATAACATATTTTCTAAGGTAGGTCCTGAATATATCATTCATAGTGGATGGAATGAAGTTTTATGGAGAGAAAAAAAGTCAGTACATTGGTTGAAGATGAGTTGAAAAGTTTGTTCTAGTTTGAGTGATAAGGCTTCTGTTGTTTTGGTGTGATTTAGTCACAATTAATCGATTCTTCTTTTCAATCCAAGCAAAAATTGGCATTTCGTTAATGTTGGATGTTTTTTTGATTTCAGGAAAAACTTGACCAGTGGCTCTGTAGACAGCAAGAGGGTGGATCAAGACTTGCAAACTTTGATATAATTAACTACATTCAGGTTGGTTTCATCACTGTTCTATGTTTTTCATACAATGTTGAGGTTTTATTATTGTTCTCTGTTTTATCATTGTCTTTTGACATGATTCTCAATCCTAAACAAATGAGTTTAATCAACAACAATGGTCTCATATTAATCTCACTATGGTTTTTGCTCCACTTTAGCTCTAATCTTCTGCTCCAAAACAGAAACCTCAGTTTCAAGACCAAACATTCTATTCAAAGCATGCATATTCTCAAGTGTTTCACTCAAAGTCCTACTATCACTCCCATCACATCTCAAATGTTGCATTGGACCATGAAGCATTTTATTCACTATACCTCTACCAAGATCATCCACTGCTTTTTGTGTCTTCTTATTTATATCCTCATCACTCATTTTACCTAAACATTTCTCAACCTCAGCAATCCTTAACCTTTCAGCATAAGCTCTCAGTTTCTTGATAGTAGGAACAGTTTCTAACGAGTCTCTCCATGCTTCGAATTGGCCCGATTCTTCGCCGATGATCACTTGTGCTTCCATTGCTTTTCTTAGTCTGTCCTCTTTGTTAGCAGCCACTACCTCTTTAAGGTTGTCGACATTGTAAACTTTGACTGATTCGAGGTCATCGACGCACGAACCTACGTTCCTCGGAACAGAAATATCGACGAAGAGGCACTTTCGTCCCATTTCTTCGCTTGCGAAAGGAAGTTCCTTAACATGTTGTTTTAAAATCAAAGGATTCTCTGATGCCGTGCTTGTGAAAACTACATCCGCTTCGCCTACGCATTCGAGCATATCAGAAAGCGGTTTGTAGATTATCTCGACATCGTTTATTTCATCGCGGATCGCAGATACAACAGCCATTCCTGCACCATGTCTCAGAAGTTCAGCTCTTCCTTCTGCACACTGACAGAGACATTCCAATAAAACCAACATCATTTCATTTGGTTTTCTGTCTTTGCAATTCTCTAACAGAAGCTCTATTAAGACAGGAACTGTTCCTGCTTCAACACCTTTGATTCTGTTTCTTCCACATGGACAGAGGATAATTAGTGTCTGAAGGGCTGCTTTTGATACCTTTTGTGATATTTGATCCTTCAAAACTTGCACCAGTTCCACGAATAAATCGGTTTTTTGATGAAGTAACTGCACTGGTTCAGCTACTTCTGTCATAGATTTAAGCAAGAAAACTGCATAAGCTCTTGATTCAAAGAAACCTTTCTGTAAAACTTTTGTTAAGGACTCGATAAATTGACCGTTTTTGAAAGCTAGTAGATTCTTCAATCCAGCTTCAGATACATGAAGGTTATGAAGTATGCTTAATGCTTCATCAACCAGATTAACATTAGTCTCTGACAATAATAAAGATGCGGAATCGATGTTGCAACTATTGTTTACCACGATAGAAGCTAAGAAGTCAACAACACCAGCACATAATATTGGCACTTCCATATTTTTTTATTTCCTTTTAATGCTTAGCTTAATATTGCTTCGTTTTCAATCCAATCAGATATTGCGCCAGCTGAAAGTGAAGAATCATATCACTATTATTAGCGAGCTTTCAACAGTAATGTCAATTGATTTTAAGAAGACTTTAAATGGCGTTCACCCAAGCTTAAGCGATTCATCAAATGGCGCACCGCTAAGCATTAGCAATGACACTCTTGCTGCATTAACTGGGGTTGTTCATTCATTAAAGCAGGAAAAACAACAAAGGCTACAAAAGGTGACCTTTTCTGATCTACTGAAATACTGGGAATGAAGTCATACCTGTGGCTGCATGTATATGTATGTGTCTCACTGTTGCCATTTCAAGTAATACAGATCATCTCATCTGATACAGCAAATTATCGTTGTAAAAGCTTTACCAAGAGTTGCGGTTTAGTGTTAAACGGCTATAAGCATCCTAGTCAGCTCATTCATTTCTTGCATTGAGTTGCAACAGCTTTTGATACAATGTCTGTTATTTTCTAGTATCTTGCTCTGTAATCTATTGGAATTTAGGTTATTCTGAAGTAAAAAAGAAAGCGTATTGGTCAGTAAAACTCAATTTTGTTTAAACATGGTTAAAATTTCTGTTAAAAAAGGTTTAAGACGCAACGAATGAAACTTAAGTCATGATTTTTCTTTTCTTTACCCATGGAATGAGTCTTTTTGTGTATGAGATATGTTTGCTTCTTTTTCCAATATGGCGTGAGGATGGAGTCATAAGGTCGGAAGGGTATTATTGTTTTAATTCATGTAAATAAATAAGAATGGATTGCATGTATGATTGTTACTGATGGAGCACTCTTTTCCAAACAGGTTCTTAAAAGATTTATGAATATAATTTTACTTTCTTGCAGGTACAAGAACTTACTAAGTTCTTGGTAGAGTTATGGGATCTTATGGAGATGCCAATTGATGAGCAAAAAGCATTTAGCCATGTTACTAGATTAATTTCAGCATCAGTTGACGAAGTGTCAATCCGAGGATGCCTCTCTGCTGATGTCATTAAGCAGGTGTGAAACCTCCAATGACTTCAACTTGCATTGCAATTTTAATTGCATAGTTTGAATTTTGGTGGCTTGATTATTTATATTAATGTAGGTTGAGGTTGAAGTTCAGCGCTTAAATGTTTTGAAAGCTAGTAAGATGAAGGAATTAGTGTTTAAAAGACATAATGAACTTGAAGAAATTTACAGAGGAGTTCATATGGATGTGGATAGTGAAGCGGCTAGAAAGATTCTCACCAGCCGCATAGAATCTGGTACATACATTATGCCTAAAGTATTATTAAAAATTTTTCTTGAAATGTTAATATGGCTACTTACAAATGTACCTTTAATTTCCTTTGTTTCCCTTTTAAATAATACCCTGTGGAGCTGTTGTTACAGACTTATATGTGCATTCATAATGCCTTCTCTTAGTTTCGATTTTCATTTAATAAGCTCTAATGGCTCTGCAGGTAATATCGATATGTCTGAATTGCTTCAAAGCATGGATGATCAAATCAGAATGGCCAAAGAGCAAGCTCTAAGCAGAAGAGATATCTTAGATAGGGTGGAGAAGTGGAAATTTGCAGCTGAGGAGGAAAAGTGGTTAGATGAATATGAAAAGGTATATATCATTCTTAAGTTTATTTCTAATAATTTTATTCTTAAATAAACCATATACTGATGCAGTTGAAATTTATCACCTTAGAGTACGCTAGATGTTATGTTATCATTTATATATTCAAATGTTTTTACGATTATTTCAACTCATATATTTAGCTTGTTGTTGTCAAAAGGGAAACTGATGAGTTTTGTTATGCACACAGGTTACAATAGCTTGTGGTAATTCAATTTCAGTTTATTTGCTTTTCCTTTTTAATATTTAACTGTTCACAATTTATGAGCCTTTACCTTATAATCTAAACTTAGATACTCACAAGTTGTGGGCCCCTCGTCTAAATAAAATTGATTTTTAGCACTGGGTAGGGTGGACCTGTGCATTTTCCATACTGAAACCCTTAAATATCCTTATGTCTAGGGTGTAGGAGACACGAAATCATTTATTTTCAAGGATTCACTCATAAATTTAGTTATCAGGACAATTAATCATTGATAGAGCAGAGTAGAATAGAAGACGAGTAAAACTGGAAATGATATTATTAATTGAAATGAGAATGAATTCTTTATTACAATTCCAGAGCTAAGAGCTCCTCTCAAATAAAGAAGAAAACAGTTTTTCTTTCTCTGCCAAAATGCTAACCCACAATGAACGTGTCTTCTCCCACTACCCTGCCTTCCTACTCTTAAGGAGAAGTTTGTAACTAAATTGCCTTAGTGGGTTTATGTGGAACTGTTCTCCACACCTCTCCTTTTCTTTCTTTCATAAAGTCTCCAAACCTTGTTAGACTTAATTAGTTCAATTATTGCATTAGTTATATCGATTTATTGTTATTAGTTTATAATAATCATTCCTTATTTTATGCGCTTCTTGTTAGACCCATATTAAATGTTTGATTATTCTTTATATGTTGAATTAGTTTTTATTGTACAATACATAATCAATATTCTTTCTATGATACAGGAAAACAAGAAGCAATTATTTTGCCTAATTAGTGATTGTATCTATGAGTTCAACGCTTTTGGATCATGAAGGTGGTTACTACATGGGATTGTTTTGTTATCCTTTCTTATTTTTTTGGTGTTTTTTTTAGAGAATTTGATTGTATGTTTTTGGATTTGGATTGAAGTACTCATAGATGGGCATCTACAAATTTGGCTATGCAAACGCCCTCTTAATATTCTATATGTTATGATATTTGGAAACAATAGGATTTGGTAATTTAAAATGTTATTTGGTATTTGATGGATCATAATATATATGCAATGAGTAACTTAAAGCATTATTTGTGTTGAATTGAATATAGTTATTTTATATTTACACCAAAAAAAATGATTGTGTAAGAAAAAATATTGTACTGTACTTATTAAAAATATTGTACCAAATATGTACCATTTATTAGCACTTTATTTGAAAGCGCTATCAAACATATGTTATATATTAGCGCTTTTTGTTTAGAGTGCTATAAAAAAACAAACAAAAAACATGCAAAATTCTGACTTTGATAGCACTTTAATTAAAACGCTATTATAAATTGGTACTTTAATAGCGCTTTTAAAGTGCTATTAAATAAGAAATATTTACAATAGTGGCGCGGTTAATAGCACTTTTAAGCGCTATCAAAAACAAAAAAAAGCGCTATTAAATAGCTTATTTGGCGTAGTGATTATTTGTGATTAGTGAATTAAGACCTCGATTGAGAGAGACAAAATTACCTTGGCGGGTGGACTGGAGTAGTTTTGAGTTCAAAATGAACCAGGATAACAAATGTATTTTATAGCCTTATCATTTGAAAACCCTAAATCAAAGTCCCTTTCTTGTGTTTTTCTATTCTTCAATTGGCATCAGAGTGCCCGATTCTGGGTGCTAACACTTAACCGTGTCAAAAAAAGATCCTAAGAAAGAAAAACACTATGGTGGAACCAAGTCAAAAAAACAACAACAACAATGAAAACCATGATGAGAAGGACATAATCAACGACATACTGTCAATCTTTGATGGAGAAAAATTTAATTGCTGGAAAGACTGAATCAAGAGTTTCTTTCTAGCTTATGACGCTGATCTCTAGGACATGGTAACTGATAGCTATATTCATATAGTCGATGCAAAAGGTTAGAAGATCGATAAAAAGAAGATGACAGATGAACATAAGAAAGAGTTCAGAAACCATCATAAAGCAAGAACAATCCTTTTGAGTTCTTTCTCATATACTGAGTATGATAAGATCACCAACAAAGAAACTGCTCAGAACATGTTTGAATCTATAAAAATGACACATGAAGGTAACACACAAGTCAAAGAAACCAAAGCTCTTGCACTTATTCAAAAGTACAAATCCTTCAAAATGGAAGAAGATGAAATTATTGAAACAATGTTCTCAAGGTTTCAAATTCAGGTTGCTGGTTTGAAAGTTCTGGACAAAGGATACTCCACAACAGATTATGTAAAGAAAATTGTAAAAAGCTTACCCAAGAAGTGGAGACCTATGGTCATAGCCTTAAAGTTAGCCAAACATCTGAACACTATATCACTAAAGGAACTAATCAGATCTCTAAGAAATCATAAGATAAAACTAGAAGAATATGAGCCCCAGAAGAAAGGTAAGTCTCTTGCCCTTAAATCTAATTAAAAATATGAAACTAAAGCTTTCCAGGAAGAAGAAGAAGAAAGCTCTGGTGAATCCTTATTAGAAGAATACAAATTATCTATTTTCTCCAGAAGAGTCCATCAGTTATGGAAGCACAAACAAATGAAATTCCAAAATCCTAGAAGATCAGGTAATCACTCTGAATCATCCTCTAGATACAGAATGTCTAGCAACAAAGACGTCGTCTGTTACGAATGCAAAAAGCTAAATCACTAGAAATTGACTGCCCCAAACTTCAGAAAGAAAAGCCAAAAAAGAAGTTTGTCAAAGAAAAGAAGAATAGTCTTATGGAAAAATAGGATGACTCAAAGTCTTCTGAAGCATAATCAGAATCAGAAGATGAACGAGCCAATATAGCATTAATGGCCAACATATCAGAAGACACAGATACATCAGAATCTGAACCAGAATAGATCTTAATTAGAAGATAGTCTGTCTGAAATTTTTGAAAGATATCAACAACTTCAAATCAAATACAAGAACCTGAAACACAATCTTGTATCTGAAACTGAAGAAACTAGGAAACTAAAACCGGAAACTTTGAGCTAAAATAAATTAATTCTAAACTTAAAAATGAAAACTCCTTCATTAACAATGAATTACAAAAATATCAAAAAGAATCGGTTTCAGAAGTTTTAAATAGTTCTGATAACATCATAAAAAAATATGATCACAACTTTAAAAAAGTTCTAGCTAGAAACATAGATAGAAGAAAGATAGTCTCAATGATCTATGGAGTTAGCAGAAACGGCAGAAAAGGTATAGGATATGCGAAACCAAAAGGGGAAGAACCATATCAATCAAAACAAGTTGATGACATGGTCATAAAATACACACCCCTAAATTCACATTTCACATATGGACACACACTTGACATAAAATACACTAGTGAATCTTATTCCGTGAACTCTTATGATAAACCAAAATTCAAACAAAATGTTGGAAACTCTAACCAACAAGGACCCAAAAAGATATGGGTACCTAAGTATAATATCATCTATGTTGCATATGTATTTAATAGCAAAGTTGAAACACCAGTCTTGGTACCTGGACTCTGGATGCTCTCGACACATGACAGGAAGAAAGTATATGTTCCAAAGTCTGAAACTTAAATCTGGAGGTTATGTAGGTTTTAGAGGCAATCAGAAAGGAAAAGTAATTGGCTCGGGAACTATTGGTAACGATACACTTCCTTCTATAACTAGCATTCTCTTAGTAGATGGATTAATGCATAATTTGTTGTCCATAAGTCAATTAAGTGAAAACGGTTATGATATAGTCTTAATTAAAAGTCCTGCAAAGCAACTAGTAAGAAAGATGGAACTATCATTTTTAATGGCAAGAGAAAGAACAACATTTATAAGATTAAAATTTATGAACTAAAGAGTCGGAATGTAAAATATCTTATGTCTGTTAATGATAGGCAATAGGTCTGGCACAAAATATTGAAGCATGTTAGTATGAGAAGAATATCTCAGATTAGCAAACTCAATATGGTCAGAGGACTTCCTACCTTGAAGCTCAGCTCAGATGCTCTGTGTGAAGCATGTCAAAAAGGAAAGTTTGCAAAGCGCTCTTTCAAATCTAAAAATGTTGTTTCTACCTATAGACCATTAGAACTTCTACATATAGATTTGTTTGGACCAGTGAAAATTGCATCCATCAGTGGCAAGAAGTATGGATTAGTGATCATAGATGACTATAGAAGATGAACACATGTAAAGTTCTTAAGACACAAGGATGAGTCACACTCTGTGTTCTCTACTTTCTGTAACCAAGTTCAGAATGAAAAAGAGTTTAGAATTGTAAAAGTCATAAGTGATCATGGTGGAGAGTTCAAAAATAAAAGTTTTGAAAAGTTTTTTATAATTAAAATGGCATTTCTCATGATTTCTCTTGTCCTAGAACTCCCCAACAAAATAGATTTGTAGAACAAAAGAATATAACTTTACAAGAAATGGCCAGAACCATGATCAATGAGACTAATATTATGAAACACTTATGGGTAGAGGAAGTTAACACATCTTGCCACATTCCGAATAGAATCTCCATAAGACCTATTATGGGAAAGACTCCATATGAACTGTGTAAAAATAGAAAGCCCAACAATTCTTACTTCCATCAATTTGGATGTATCTGTTATATGTTAAATACCAAAGAATATCTGAACAAGTTTGATTCTAAGGCACAAAAGTGTTTCATGTTAGGATACGATGAACGCTCAAAAGATTATATAGTATATAACACAGAAACACGAATTGTGGAAGAATCCATTAGTGTTATATTTGATGATAAGTTTGGCTCTCAAAAGTCAAAGCAGGTTGAACATTTTGCAGATATAGAAGTTCAAATTACAGCTACTAAAGATAAATCTTCTGAAGACAAAAGCTCATAAAGTCATTCCAATACAAAAAAAGACATCAACATCAACACCAACACTATAAAAACTTCTGAATAACCCATCCAGAAAAGACAGTCTAGAAGCAGATTAACACATCCTGGAGATATGATTATGGGAAAGAAGAATGATCCAATCCGAGCAACATCTACGTTCATAAATACTGAAGAATCTCTCACAGGTTTGACATCTCTGATCGAACCAACCTCCATAGATGAAGCACTTCAAGACAATGATTGGATACTTGCAATGCAGGAAGAACTAAATCAATTTACCAAAACCAATGTATGGGATCTAGTTCTAAAACTAAAAGGCTTCAATATCATTGAAACTAAATGGATCTTCAAAGACAAGCTAAGTGGACAAGGAGAAGTCGTCAGAAATAAGGCACAACTGGTTGCACAAGGTTATAGTTAACAAGAAGGGATATACTATAAAGAGACTATTGCTCCACTCGCCAGGTTAGAATCTATCAGACTTTTAATCTCATTTGTTGTAAATAAAGACATCACTCTCTATCAGATGGATGTCAAAAGTGTCTTTTTAAATGGTTACATTAATGAAGAAGTATATATGTACCAACCCCCTGGATTTGAAAACACAAAACATCCTGAGTATGTTTATAAACTTAAGAAATCGTTATATGGTCTGAAACAAGCTCCCAGAGCTTGGTATGAAATACTTAGTAACTTTATCTTAGAAAAAGAATTTACCAGAGGGAAAGTGGACACAACTTTATTCTGTAAAACATTTAAAACTGACATTTTGATTTGTCAAATTTACGTTGATGATATTATATTTGGATCTACTAAAGCCTCGTTGGGCAAAGAGTTTGCTAAGTCTATACAGGCATAATTTGAAATGAGTCTGGTGGGAGAACTCAAGTTCTTTATGGAAATTCAAATTAATCAAACTCCAGAAGGAACCTTTATACATCAAAGAAAATATGTTAAATAACTTCTAAAGAAATTTGATATTTCAAAAAG